AAAAAAAAAAAAAACCTAAATATCACAGAGCCAGGGAAGTTATAACCAAGGAAGTCAATGAATATCAATATTCTTCAGAGAAGAAAAGTTCTCTCCCTGGGTCTTGTAAACCCCACTAAAATCAGTCCTGCATGGAGGCCAGTACTTTAATCCATTTTAACTGACTGCTCAATAGATACCTATATATGTCAGTGGAGTTCCGGGTATCAATAGATACCTATACATGTCAGGTCTAAAATGGCCAACATGGGATTTCTGGTTAGTGTTATTATTTAATTTTACTTAATATTTAACATAAAATATACTCTCTTAACCGTTTTTAACTGTAGTTCAGTTGGGTTAAGAACATTTTGCCAAGTTTAAAATGTTTACATTCACTAAACACACATGAGCCTTTGCTGCAGACCAGGTCAGAGGCACCTAGTCCCAACACTGTCAGGAGACATGGCCTCCAGTTCCACACTTGATCTTAGCTAAAAGGCCAGAAGTGATTACTCCACCTCTAATTTCAAACCCCTTTTCTTCACTGGGCTTGGAAGAGTGATGAGAAATGCCCGACCACCTCCTGGCTGAGAATACCAGTGTAAAGAGCTAATCCGGCTCAATTACCGAACTAGTAGTGATACCAAACTCTGGTCTCAGTTTCCCTCAGTCAGTAAAAAGAAACAGAGTTTGAGGAAAAGGAAAGTGGTTTTATTTGTGGACAAATGAGGAGGGCAGCAGACTCATGTTGAAATACCACCCTCCTGCTCTTTGGCAAGTTACTGGGCTATTTATACAATGTTAAACAAAGAAAAAGGGGAGATGGGCAAGAGTCTGCAAAGGGGAGGAATAAAAGTTAGTGCTGGGATGGAGACCAGTGGGCACCAGTCTTTATTTACACAAAGAGAAACAAAAATGGGGAATCAGCAAAAGTAATGGGGAGGGGGCAGGGGGCAGCACAGGGAGGAAGAGGAGTCCTTGCCCTGAGCTTTCTCACTATTTGCTTTTGTTTGGGATTCCTTTCCTTAAGCCTAAACCTGTCAAGAGAAGAGACACTGCAAGTAAAGGAGAGAAAAAAGTACATCCACAGTCAATTAAGAGCTCTGGGAAAACCAATTCCATAATAAATTTGTCAAAGGAGGCAAGTCCGCAAATGCTTATCTGAGAGCCCATTTACTGTATCAGTAGTTGAAAACCAGAAAGTCACTGACATGGAAGATAATGCACTTACATAATTCTTTCGCGCTTGATACCATTCAAGTTTTATGTAAATTAAACGATGAGTTGATTAATGACCGAAAGGTAAATAAGGATAATAAAACTCCATACACACATGGGTCACATTTTAGTTGTGTACTAAGCATAGTCTCTCTTCATTCATAAATACTCGCCTAGCTTGCTCAACCTGAAAATTTCCTATCCACCTGGGGAAAGGGTGAGGAAGAAGATACAGTATCCTGGAACTCTGCATACCTTATACTGGATCTCAAAATTCCTGCAGTGGTTCCATATTATCCCCTTAGCCTCACCTTCTATTATCTTAATTTAGTCAAACTCAACTATGAATCATTCTAGCTTGGCAGTTTCTGGAAGTTTCTTCTACGGAATGGTTTTACTCAGTGCCACCTCGAAACACCTTTAGCGCAGGTTCTGGAGTCAGTACCTCCACGTTCAAGTTCTGCTTCTCCGCAAGACTACACGATTTGGGGCACCCCACCTGATTTTCCTACGCCTCGTTTCCCTAGCTCTAAAACGGTCCTATAATATGATCCATTTGACAGGTATGATCTGGGGCTGTGGAGTCAACGCACGAAGCGCTCCCAGCACCGCTGCCTGGAACATGCACACGCAAGCCAGCGAATTTTCCTCCTGCAACCCCGAGTGCTCCCCTTCGAGGTCTGACACAAGCCATCTCCCCGACGACCCCATCAGAAGCGACCCCGGACGCCAACATAAGTCTGTGCGAGCACACCACCACAGGCTGCCAGGGGCTTTGCAAGTGTGCCATGTGGGAGCCCCCGCCCACACCCCTGCAGTGAGCTCCAGGCCAGCGCCCTGGGAGTGGGCCAAGGGGCGGCCGGACCCGGAACTGACCCGAGTGGGGGTTGCCCAAAGCGGACAGCGGGTCCCGGGTCTCCCGCCTCAGCCTGTGGGAGCTGCCAACACTCTGAGGCCCGTTTCCTGCTCAACTTGAGCAGACAGCGACTTGTGGCGGTGGAGGGCGGGCAGAGCAAGCACGATGTAAAAGGCTGAGTGGAAAACAGAGACTTCATAAACCGGCCTGCCGGGCGCCCGAGGTTGCCACTCTTCCAAGCTCAGTGAAGAAGAGGGACTTGGATCTGGACGCCGCGTCTCCAGGCACCGTCCAGGACTCCGCGCCCCCGCCCTCGGCCTGCTGCAGCTGCTCGCGCGCGCTCGGGCCTGGGGCCGCAGTCTCAGAGCTCGCGTCCGCCGCGCCCTACTGCGGCCTCTGCACGCGCCGGCCCAGATCCCTTCACGTCCGGACTGCAGCCCGTCGCTCGCCGACCGCGCACGACCAGGCCTTTACTTGGGCTAGGTCTTACCTCAGCCGGCGAGGTGTTAAGCGGTCGGAAGGGAAATGCGGGACCTCAACATGGCCGTCAGCAGCAGCCCCTCCTTGGACCCACCCCCACCGGGACCGCCCCCTCTCGGATGTAAGCCTTTCGCCCCTAGGCTCAGGCCCCGCCCCTAAATCCCGGCCCCCTCTAGGACCCGCCCACCACGGACCGCGCCCGCTGTAGGGCCCGCCCCTTTAAGGCTTAATGCCTTTGTGCCTTGGGGTAGGCCCCGCCCCCAAAAGCTCTCCCTCCCAATTTTCTACTCCCTTAGGGTGGTTGCTCTCAGTTCCCACTATATGGATTGTCTGCCTTGTAGACAGACTTCCCCCGGAGGCGCCAGAAAAAGGCTGGGGCTTGAGCAAATCTGAAGCCTGGCCCCAGTTAACTCTTGTTATGGGTTTCAAGGTTATTCTTTGAAATTACTACAGAAATCTGGACATAATTTCAAGCTTCCTCCTCTGATTCTCAACAATCTACACACGTCTTCCCAATTCCCTTCCCTTTAGCTGAAGTTAAATAAGGGTCCTATTTAGATAAACTAATAATTACTGTTTGATGACTTACAGGCTATATTCCCTTGATTTTTTTGTTACTTCCTTTGACTTAGCCAAATTCATGTTGAGAACACTTAGCCTGTTGAGAAAATATAATTTGGTAACAAGATCTTTTTTTTTTTAAATTTACTTAAAACCGGCCCTCCCTGGTGGCGCAGCGGGTTAAAGCACAGCACTGAGAATCTAAAGATGCTTCAGCCTGAGTTCGATTCCCGCCTGCCCCGGAGGTGACCACATGGTGTGGCAGACCTCTCCTGACCCGCCCGCTGCTCCCCTCAGCAGTGTACTTCGTCAATCTGCCTGTTCTGTTCCCCACTCTGTCTCTGGTGAAGCCTCTCACCGCCCCTGAGCCTCTGGCCTGTACCCCAGTTCTGTATGCACAAATAAATAAATCTTTTAAAAAAAAATTTACTTAAAACCAACAACAAAATTAAGAGTTTATAAGTGATATATCTGGAAGCAAATTTAGGTTCATAGGTGTAGTAGAGCAGGGTCCTTATCTCAGAAGGATCCTGCACTTTAATTTTTTTTGCTCAGTTTAATTATTTTATTACAATGTACCACAGTGTTCATAATTTATGAATAAGGAGCCCCCTGTTTTTCTTTTTGTAATGAGCCTTGCAAATTATGTGTCTTATCCAGCAGAAAGGGAGGTGAAGTGACCTTCATGGAAAGTGACATCAGTATGGTTGCTACCCAGGAGACTACCTGCTGGAAACTGTTCCGTGCTGAAGGATTGTTTGGCCATAGTGACCTGTGGACTGGACTTGTGCCTCTGTGGGTCGATTGGGAGTCAATCTGAAGATAATGTTTAATCCAAATAATGTCTTATTCTGAGAAAACATTCAAGTGGAAAGCTTTTTACTTTCTACTGTTTTTAAATGTAAAACACTGAAAATGAGTTTCACAAATAAAACAGAATAAAGGTTATTCAGAACTAAGGGAATATTTAAACAAAGCTAAAGGGTGTTTATTTGATAAATGTATTGCTATGGGGTACAGATTAGCCTAAAGTCTATAAAGACTTTTATCAAAGTTTCTTGTGTTAATTTCTTTTACCCAATATAAATACAATTATAAGAGATCCAGTAAATTTCTGTTTCCTCATTAAAGAAGAAAGATGGCAACAGTGACAGGTTTTAAAAGGAGTTGGAGCCTTACCTGGTGACGCAGCAGGTTAAGGCTCAGCAATGCTAACTAGCTAGAGCTGCTTCAGTGTGAGTTCCATCCCTGGCCCCTGAGGTGATCTACATGGTGCAGCGGAGCTCTCCTGTCTCACCTGCTGCTCCCCTCAGCTGTGTACTTTGTCAATCTGCCTGTTCTGCTCTCTACCCTGTCTCTGGTGAATCCTATGACCACCTCTGTACCTGTGGCCTGCACCCCAGTTCTGTATGCATACATAAATAAATCTTAAAAAAAAAAAAAAGAGTTGGCAGAGACCATGGAGCAAATAAAGATTCAGCACCAGCCACAGGAGTACACAGGGCCATGAGGACAGAGCACAACACATTAGAGTCAGTAAATTTAATAAGGTGGCTAGAAACAAGGTCATCTCAAACTTAGTAATATTCCATAAGCATTACTAACACCATAAATATCTACCAAAAAATTACAAAAAGAAGATGATCTCATCCACAGAAGCAACAAAATACCAACATAGAAGTAAACATTATGAGAATTGTATAAACCTTTACTAAGCCTAAACAAATAGAGAGCAATATATTCTCAGAATAAAAGGCTCAGTATTATAGAACTATTAATATCCCAGATTCATTTCTAGTTAAGATCATCATGCAATCTTAATCACAATCTCAGTTTTTTAATGGAGCACAACAAGCTAATTATAAAATTTTGATGGCAAGATATACCAACTCAGTTTTGAAATTCATAAATTGCTCTATCAGATTTAATGACGCATTATGAAATTGTGATCATTACACAGTTCTGGATTCAAAAGAGTTCAATGGGCCAGAGGTGTCCTGTCACAAACCCATACAGCAATTTAGCATATGTTATTGATAGTGTGTCAAGTCAGAGAGGAAAACATGAACATTTATATAATGATGCCTCACAAATATTTCCCAGCAGCTTCGTGGAGAATGACAGACCAAAGGTGACCTGTGCACTTTGGGGCTATTGGTAATAGAGAAAATATAAAACAACACAAGGCATTTACAGATAAATGTAAGTTGCTGCACAATCCACTTACTGTTTATGTTTTTAAAAGCATCAAAGAGCCTATTTTCTATAACTACAAATATTTTATAGGATAAAATCTGAGTGAAAACAATGGCAGCTTTTTCTGAGAAGGAGGAAAAGGGCTAGAGAATTGAAGGTGAGAGTCAAACAGCTGTTGATGAATGATGGCAAGTTATTTGTGCATATTTTTTAGTTCTAAAACATTAATTTAAGGCATTAATGTTCAATAAAAGTTGAAAAAATAGTGCTCAGACCTATTTCAGTGCCAACTGCCCCAAATCACATCTTCTTACGTTTTACTTCCAGTATGTGCTTGTGAAAGTTATTTCTGATTCAAAAATTCTTATTAAAATACATAATTAAGGCCCTTCCTGGTGGTCACACATTGGGTGAGAGCACAGCACTGCAAGCAGCACCTTCAGTGCGAGTTCCATCCCCCACCCCGGAGGTGACCCACATGGCCCCGCAGACCTCTCCTGTCTCTCCTGCTGCTCCCCTCAGCAGTGTACTTGGTTGGCTGCCTGTTCTGCTCCCCACTCTGTCTCTGGTGAATCCTTTCTGCCCCCTCCCGACCCCCACTCTCTCCTGGCACTCTGGTCTATACCCCAGTTCTTCTACACAAAAATTAATTTTTTTACACAAAATTCATTTTTTACACAAAATTAATTTTTTTACACAAAATTCATTTTTTACACAAAATTAATTAATTAATTAATTAAAAATTGCTTTACAAAAAAGATATAATTACTATCAAAACTTATTCAGAAATAAATCTTCAAGAAGAAAACCCTTATTGGTCCTGTTTCCACCAGGTATTCTTGGGCAGATCATTTCACCCTTATGAGTTTGATTCCTCATCTGAAAATGGCATAATCAAAAGTTCTAACACCATCTTAATCACAAGTCTGGAGTACAGAAAACAAGATTTCATATCATCCTACTCAGATGTTTCTGAAATCACTGTCATGATCATCCTATCCAGATGTTAGTACCAGGTCCACTGGTGTCAGAAGACTCCAAATGAAGCATGTTCTCCTTGGAATGTAGACAAGACCACTCCCTAAAATGTCTATATTTTATTGTTACCCTCTCCAGTTGAAATGTATATATTTTTGTGTAGGCTTTATAATATGTAAAATTATAATATGTATAATTATAATATGTAAAATTATACATAAATAGTACATATATTCTGGATGTGTGAGGCATAAGATTCCCCCATCATGACTTTTTGAGTGAGAGTAAAGATTTGTTCCCTACCACAGCTTTTTGAAAAAAGAGCACCACATGGAGTAACTTCTATACAGTTATCTACTCTGCCTGTAGCTGGTTGGGTGTAGAAATGAAGAACAAAGTGTGTTAACTTCTTCACATTCTCTACTGGACTTAAGCAGTCTGGGAGAAAATGTCCTTTTGACCTTCAGAGATAAAAGTAAAATGAATTTAGTCTCCCCCTGGTGGCACAAGGGGTTAAAGCTCTGCACTATGAAGTTCTAAGAAGCCACTGCAGTACAAGTTCGTTCCCCAGGCAGGGAGCTGACCGACACGTGTGGCAGACCTCTCCTGACCTGCCTGCTGCTCCCCTCAGCACTGTGTTTCAGTACATCTGCCTGTTCTGTTCCCCACGGTGCCTCTGTGGATCCTCTTCCCCCATAAATTTACACCTCTTAGCATCTGACATGAATCAGGATTCCAGTTGGAAAATTTCATTTCCAACTGTTCTGTACCAAGTGTCAGCCTTTTGTTGTCGAGTTCGCTTTCTTTTTATAGATTTATTTATTTATGCCTACAGGCCAGAGGTGCAGGGGTGGTGAGAGGATTCACCAGAGACAGCGTGGGAAACAGAACAGGCAGATGTACTGAAATACACTGCTGAGGGGAGCAGCAGCGAAACAGGAGAGGTCTGCTGCACGGTGTGGGTCACCTCGCTGGTCAGGGATGGAAATCATGATGAAGAGGCTGCAGCTAGCTTTAACACATTAGTCAACCACAGAAGGCCTGCCAAGTTCTCTTTCTGATGATAATATGTAAAGAGGAGAATCTGAATCCCAGCTCTTCTTTTTTTGGATGATGATCATATATACTCAAGCAGTTAAATAAATTAACATTTTTATAAATGTTAATTTACTAATGTTAACTAATTAACAAACCATTTTATGATTATATAAATAATATAAACATAACTACTTTTCTAATTAGTAAATACTTTTATAAGTTATCTCAGTTGTATAAGAAATTAATTAAATTCAGATACTGTTGCATAGGGTAACACCACACTGACAAAGAAATGGGAGTCATGGAGCAGGCTACATAATGCAAGATGCTGCTGAAGA